AGGTAATCAAAGAAATAAGAAATATAATCGCCATTGAGGAAACAGACTGCCGCTCTGGGCAGGCTCTCAGGAATGGCATAGATACCAAGGCAGGATGAATTTGTATTTTCTCTCCCTGGTTTGCTATGTCTCTTGCTGACATAAATAGAAACCTAGTGCTTCTGTGTCCATGGGACTGAGCATTGCACAAATCACAGAGCACAGCATGGTTCCTGCTCTGACGCTGCAGAATAAACATTCCAAGTTCTGGGACTCTCAGCCAATGCACACTCTAGGGCTTTCAAAGAGTCTGGACTTGTGATGACCATTGTCTAGGGGAGGAAAGGTCAGAACCGAGACTTAGCCAAGGAGGAGGGTGGGGGTGACAGAGGCAGGTGTGCATAGGGGAGGGAGCTTGGTGAAATGAATCCGTGTTGGACAGATATTAACAGGAGGCACCTGCTTGGCTTCCACTTTGGAACAGCCCCTGGACCCCCAGTTTCTAGAGCATTCCTCAATGTTACCAGACAGCCATGATGATCTAGGTACATTGGTGAGCTGTACTTGGTCTCTTATAACCCACACTCACCCCATTTGATCCCCTCCTCAAATTAATCTACCCAGCATGGTTCAGTGAAGCATGCTGCTGTCTTATATCCATTACCCTTGGGGGGCTATGTTCGTGGAGACTCAGCACCCCGAGTCTGGATCTTGCAGCCTCCCTCGGAAAGAGTCATGACTACAAATAAGAGTGTGGCCCTCCCCTTCCCTTTTTCTGAAATGTACACTGGTTGGGGTACTGTAATTCAGCTTGTGCCAATGTGGAATTCATAAGGGCAGGCTACAGACTCAATAAAGGTCCCAATAAAAGGGCAGAATACAGACCCAATAAAAGTCTATGAAAGGGTCAGTATGGGTTCAGGGAGACGCCACTCAAGGAGGACTTGCTTCTCACTACACGTGGCAGCCTGGGTTTGCACTGAAGCCCTTGGGGTGTCACCCTGCCCTTGTCCCTCCTCTGTCTGTCCTCACCTCTTGAGATGGTCTGGGCACTGGCTTATTCCACTGGGTAGATGGCTTTGTGGTTTTCTCCAGCTTTCCTAAATCTCGATATGTTTTGCAGAAGTAAAGGATGGCATAATTTATCACAGTTGAACATGTGCTTTGTTCAATGACAGGGTAATTAGACATTCTTTCAGCAGACACATTAAATATATACTTATGCATTAAAGCTCCGTGTCTCCGATCAGCACTGCTGATTTATGCTTTATGCTTGGATCTTTGCCTGTTGATAGCCATATAAAATGAAACTTGCATGCCAAGACATAAAAGTGACAGGGAAGAAGAAATGGCTTCCATATGCTAAGTCAAGTTAAGGGGAGGGGTGGGGGGTTATCTAGGGGGATGGGGACATATGCACATACATGTATGTATATGTATGTATGAGTATGTAAACACTTAGCCCTCCTGAACAGACTGGGGCTTGAATCTTTTCTCCCTTCCTCTGTAAGTATTAATTATGCAGTGATCAAAATAATTTTGCATGCATAATGCTGACCTCTTTCACTAGAGGGCAACACAACTCCAGCTTCAGGAGCCTCTACCTCTGCTTCCAATGACAGGAAGCATTTAATAAGATGCTGCATGGGTTTTATAATGAACACCCTATTAATTTTACATAAGTGCAAAGTTACTTTTGAAAATCCTGCGACACTTCTGAATACACATGAATTGACCTTCTCAACAGTTGGCAAGCAGCTGTTCCTTCACTTTTTTTCCCTGTGGACAGGGCACCACCCTGTTTTCACTGGGAGTGCATTCTTATAAGAGGCAGGGCACTTCCCAAGGAGTATTGCATGCGTGCTAAGTTGCTTCAGTCATGTCTGACTCTGATTCCATGGACTGTAGCCTAGCAGGCTCCTCTGTCCATGGCATTTTCCTGGCAAGAATATTGGAATGGGTTACCATTTCCATCTCCAAGGGATCTTCTCAACCCAGGGATCAAACCCACGTCTCTCATGTCTCTTGCATTGGCAGGTGGGTTCTTTACCACTAGCACCACTTTTCAACCTCACCCATGCCTGCCTGCTGTGGAGCAGAATGACATCTCGGCATCCCAGAAGTACATGGCTGAGGCTGAGCTGTAGCTTTCAAAGGCTCCCGCGGTTCTGCCACTCTCTGAGCATCTCAGGATAAAGCTTGCTCTTTGAGCACGCTCCTGGCTTCCTGTTCTATCCCTCCCTCTCACTCAGCCTCAGGAGGGATTCTTGGGGGTGGGAACAGTGGCAGGAGCTGCAGGTTTCAGGGTGTGGATCTGTGGAACTTTGCATCTTTTTCAGGAGCCTTGGAGTTTAATAGAGAGGATCCTAGCTGATCTTCATCTCTGCCCCGAACATTAAAGGCAGTTCACCCACCACCAGAACACACATCAGCTTTGCTCATTCAATTTTTAAAAGTTTGTTTGCTTTAACAAGTGGGGCTCCTGCAGTTCTCTCCGACTTGTCAGTAAGGAGAACCTGCTTGCCACCATGTTCTGCTGAGGAGGAAAACCTTTAAAAACGCTGAGAAACTGATTATATATATTCTGCCAATTGAAACCTCATTACAGATATCTGTCTTTTCTCCCCAAAACATGTTAAAAATGTTAGGAATTGTTAGAGGAATGAAACAAAGCTGTAAGTTCTGAGTCTCTGTGCCAAATGTTACATATGCAGAGAAAACACTGAACTTCTTTTCTGAGAAGCATTTCAGGCCAAGATGAATAATGAGGCCCGGTTCTCCTTTGGAGGAGAAGCATGGCATTCTACAAACAGCCTTACTCAGCATTTGTAGTTTTGCTTCCAGAAATAACCATGGCCTTTTCTTTGAAGTGAGTTCTTTGAAAGAGGAGCTCAGGTTTGTAGGGCAGCTTTATTTCCAAGGGGATGGAGGATGTGTGGGTCCTGGGGAGTGTGGAGGGGTAAAAACGCACATGTGTGTTTTCTCACCAGACAGCTGACACCCTTGGAGAAATGGGGGATGGAGACTGTGCAGTTGTGAAACAGATGAGAACGTCCAGGGTGTTTTCAATGTGAGCTTGGTGTCCTGACATGCCAAGCCCTTAATCAGGGGCAGCAATGTGAGCTGCGTGCTTAGTCACTAAGTCATGTCTGACTCTTGTGACCTCATGGACTGTTGCCCACTAGGTTCTTCTGTCCATGGCATTCTCCATGCAAGAATATTGGAGTGGGTTGCCATGTTCTCCTCCAGGGGATCTTTCTGACACAGGGATCGAAACTGGGTCTCCTATGTCTCTTGCATTGGCAGGTAGATTCTTCACTTGATGAGTCAGGTAGGATCCAGAAGGATCTGGGAAAACCCCCAGAGGCCTCCTTGATGCTTCTTGCTTTCTCCTTTCTCTCTTCTCTGGACACCCCGCTATGGTCCAGCAAGGCCAGAGGCCACGCTCATAAGTCACATGGGTGAGATGCGTCTTTCTCTACTGCTTCACAGCTTCCTTTGAAATGTAACTCATTATACAGAAGCAGAACTAAATAAAAAATACTCCAGAGAGGGAACAGATTGTTAGCTATAGATTAGAAGCACAGCCTAATCCTTCACAAGCATTAAATATTTAACATAATCGCACCACAGGTGCCAGGAAGATGTCGGCATTGTTTAATTGAACTTAATTAAACATAAGGAAAACTCTAATACTAATTCAGTTTGTGTTTTTTCATTGATTACAAAACCTCCCCTCTGAGGTCCCTGCATATTGGCTGTATTGTGCCTCACCCTTGTATCAACCAGAAAACCACTGGGAAAGAGTTGAAAAGTCAGGCAAAAAGAATAGAAGGGTTGTCTATAAACAACGGTACTATGTATGTAAGGACCAAAGAAAAAGAATATTTTTACAGTAAAGGGATTGTGTGGACACTGGCCCACGTCCAACATCTATAGGTGGGCCTATGTCTCCCGTCTGTCTCATGTCTCATTCCTGATCTGAAATCTTTTAACTGGGAATGGGAACAGTTGGAACTTGAATTGTGTGGTAGTGTGAACATTCTTTGGTATTGCCTTTCTTTGGGATTGGAATGAAAGCTGACCTTTTCCAGTCCTGTGGTCACTGCTGGGTTTACCAAATTTGCCTGGCATATTGAGTGCAGCATTTTAATAGCATCACCTTCTAGGATTTGAAATAGCTCGGCTTGAATATGTTCATACATACATACGTGTGTGTGTGTGTGTGTGTGTGGAGAGCATTGAGACTGTACTATCCATGCAGGAAAGCTAACAAGAAATGTGACAAATCATCCCTGGACCACATGTTTTCAATACTGACTCTAAGCCCTGTTAAAGGGCAGGCAAATACATTTGCTACACAAAAGAAATGTTTTAACATTTAGTATGTATCACTGAAATAATAACCTTTCTTGATAGCAATGCTACAGTGTGAAATTGTTTTAATTTCCTGCACTAATGTCTCCAAAGTGAAAAAGGAACACAGAACCTCAGAAGAAGTCATGCGAAATGTGATGTTTAATAAGTAATTTTTTTAAACTTTTGCAACTATAGCACAATTGCAAATGCACATTTCTCATATGAATGAATGTATATTGGTTATAAGAAAGTTGGCTTCTGTCTCCAGGTCAACAATACAGGGTTTGCAAACTGGGACAAAAGCTCTTTGGTTATATAGTACCATTGATATAGAAATTTAATTCTGAGAATTTCATCCTAAAGAAATAATCATGGATACCCTCAAAGATTAACTGGACAGATGTTTATTGTGGTGTTGCTTAACATAACAAAAAAAGAGAAATAATCTAAGTGTTTAATCTTTACCTAAGAATTTATAAACAATTACATTTTAGAAAAATATTTCATGCCATGAGGAATCTAGCTGCCATTTTGGCTTCAAAGCACATAGATGCTCTTTGGAATTTTGTAATTTCACACAGGTGGGAGGCAGAAGTTTCACCCCTTTAGGAGGTTAGCCAGAGGGAGGGGAATTCTCCTCCCACTCCTGGCTGAACGAGCCCATGCCCAGAGCTGGAGGAAAACCGGTGAGATGCCTTTGCCCAGAATGTGGAGGCCTGGTAGAGAGACAAAAGCTTGGGGTCCCTCAGAGGTTATTCGGGGCAGCTGTGGGAAGAGAGGATGTCTCATGTCAGAAGACAGCTGGGGTGATGTTGACCTCTGCTGGGGTGTGGGGTGTGGGTTCCATTTTACTGGGCACCTCCCAAGTCTGTATTGTTTTATTCCTTTTATTTTGTGTTCATTTGTTATAACAGCCATAAGAAAGCCATATACTTATAGCTCATATTTTCTGAGCCTGTACCTGAGGTCATTGCCTTGGCATGGGTTTCCTTATCTTTTAGGGTGTGGTCATGCAAGGAAACCACAAATAGGGAGTGAGTAGAGAGAAGGGCAGCCCATGTTGGTTCTGGATCCTTGGATTCCAGTTCTGCTCTGGCTGTGGGTGACTTTCAGAGAGAAGCTCACCTGCTCCCAGCCATGTGTGAAACAGAGGTGGCACACTCTCATTGTCTCCAACCATCTAAACATTTTTTGGAAGTTAAATTAATGTAAAATTCAAGGGAAAGCTTTCAGGTTCTTTAAAGATTTCACCAAGATGTTAACAGAAAACGTGGAAGAAATGCACTTTCAGGCAAATTCTTTATGGTTCAATTCAAAAATCGATATTTTTATTTTTTGTATTTTACAGAAATTAGGCTGTGTCATAATAATAAAAGAATGCAGTCAGTATGGTGCCCTCTCCCTCCCAGAAAGTTGTTTTGAATTTATAGTGTGTGGTTGCCAATTCACGGTATCAAAGAGTGGAGGGAGAATGGAACCGTTTTTTTTTCCTACCTCAATGCTTTAACAAAATAGTTGAAAAGCATTTTTATAATGGCTTCTGACCAGTAGGGCTGTCATTTGCAATGACTAGAATCAGTCCTTCAAGTGAAATGAGGGTTAAGTAACCCAGATCTCATTTTTTTGGCAGCACCAGGACCCTCCTCTGTAAAAGATGGGGAGAGGGTGATGTGATCAGGATGCAGGGGGTCTGATTCCAATTGTTGGGGCCCACTCACCTGGCCGATTGGAATCATAAAGAGCCCCAGACTTAGAAAATGCCACTGGTCATTTCATTTCTTGAATTTTTTTAGTCTTGGTCACAATTTTCTGTGCAGTGTGTTCAAGGGCTTGAGTTCGTCCCCCAAATAAATTGCTTTGGCTTTTCTAGAAATATGGATGTGAGCAGCAATTGTATAAAATAGCTTCAGCCCAAGAACAAGGAGGCTTTCAGGAGGGAAACTGGGAAAGACTCACTTCTAAGAGCCATGGGTCCCCTTTCTGTCCAGTCCTTGTGTTAGGAGGAGCAGCCACCTCCAGGGTCACTCACTCCTCATCACCAACACCAGGGAGGAGGAGTCACACAGGGTCATCCTGGAATGTGGTGATCCAGTCACTTGCCAGGAGCTGGTCACCCCACCTTGCTCACTGTCCTTCCTGCCCCGCTGTTCCCAGCTCTCCCACATCTGCCCAGTCTCTCACTCTGACTTGGCAGAGTGGATGGAATTCTGTGACCCGAGTCTTCCTCTTGTTCTACAATAAGAATGTTTCACCCTCTTCCAAATCACACCAGGTCTTGCTTATGTGAAGGTGTGAATCTGAAGACACTCATTGGATCTGGGATGTGAGCAGGTGATGAGGCCAGGATCTGAGTAAGTGATGAAGCCACACATGCCATCTGTGTCTTACCTTCTGGTTTATACAAGTATGGTGCTGAAACGAGCTCTTCTGGGGCTGGCAAGATTGTCGAGTTTCCCCGAGCCTCTGTCCTCACCTGTGAAATATGAACAGATCCTGCTCACACTCCAGAGATGTTGTCTGCACGCAGCATGGTACTTGAGATGTTTAAGACGCTGATCTCTGCAGTTCCACTGTTGTGAATTCAAAGCCTCCCTCTGCCCTAAGAGCTGGACCACCTTAGGCAAATGTGCAAACTCCCGGACAGTTAGTATTCTCATCTGTGAAAGCCAGGCCATTGCATCTATCTTGCAGATTGTTTTGAAGATTAAATTAACTGGGATTTTGTAGGTGAAGCCTTTGGCATGATGCCTAAGCAAACTCTGAATGATGGATCTGACGATGGATATTTCATATTTTCCCCAAGCCCCAGATGAGTTATTTTTAACATCATTTTAAAGATGAAGAAACTGATTTGACACATTCCTTTTTACAGAAGTTATGAGAAACCTTCCCCTCCCAATTTCTCCACCCCTGCTGGCCCAGAGGGTGAAGTTTCTAAGCCTTAACTCTGATCACGTCAGCTGTCTTTAGGATCCGATCATGGATTCCCATCACTTTTATGGTAGAGTCCAAGGGGAACATGGGGCCAGGTGACTAGACCATACAATGTGTGGACAGATGTGTCTCCATCTTGGTTTGCTCCTTTGGTCATGTCCTGCACCCTGACTCCTGATGTACACAGACTTCGTGCACCTCTAGCATTTCTCATCCGGACGATTGCAGCAGGCTCTGTGCCCACAACCACCTCCCCATCTGCTCAAACACTAGCCTGTTCAAAGACACACATGACCAAATTGAACCCTTGAAAATTTTCACTGCTCCCGGGGTGCTAGAGATGCAGCAAGATTGCCAGGTACTTAGTGGAGTGTCCAGGACCCTTGACTGTGGTGTGCCCACCATCCCTGCATCCGCCCTGACAAGCCCCGTTCTGGCACGTGGCAGGACTGTGTCAACATCCTTGAGGGTGACTGTGCTCTGAGATGCTCCCAGGGGGCAGGGGAGATCAAGCCCTAGAGCCTTCTGGTTTCTTAAGCAGTCCTGGAGCCTGTGGGTCTCCTCTCTTCTGAAGGGTGATTGTTACTCTCTAAAGAGGTGCTGAGCACAAGTCCAGTGGTGTCCAGACCTGCACCTTGGGATCACAGAGGGCCCAGTTATGGAGCTAGGAGACACGATCCCACTGGTAGAATCCATGGGCTTTTGGCTCCCTTAGGTCCACTCTCTCTTAGGAGATGACTCCCTGGGAGGATTTCCAGAACCATCTGAAAAAGTGCATCCTGGGAAGGTTGGCCTTGTTCAGGATAATCACACTATATTCTATCATTGGAAGGTGATTCTTTAAAATGTAGGCTAAGAATGACACACTTGCATAAACCTGTTCAACAAGGAAGAGCCAGCATCTCAGTCTGTTTTACATCTGACACCCAAGGAAAGGGGATAGATCTTTACAAATATTTTTACCTGGTCCCCTAGAAGCTATGGTTTTTCTAGTAGCCATGTATGGATGTGAGAGTTGGACCATAAAGAAAGCTGAGCACCAAAGAATTGATGGTGAACTGTGGTGTTGCAGAAGATTCTTGAGAGTCCCTTCGACAGCAAGGAGATCAAACCAGTCAATACTAAAGGAAATCAGTCCTGAATATTCACTGGAAGGAATGATGCTAAAGCTGAATTTCCAATAATTTGGCCACCTAATGTGAAGAACTGACTCCTTAGAAAAGACCCTGATGCTGGGAAAGCTTGAAGACAGGAGAAGAAGGGGATGACAGAGGAAGAAATGCTTGGATGGCATCACCAACTCAATGGACATGAGATTGAGCAATCTCTGGGAGTTTGTGATGGACAGGGAAGGCTGGCATGCTGTAGTCCTTGGGGTCCAAAAGAGTCAGACACAACTGAGTGACTGAACTGAACTGAGAATCATCATATCATGCTCATTTTGTGTCACAGAACCAAGGGCAAGCTGAAGTTGTACTTGTGATGTGAGAAGGAGCACTTGGCCCCATGCAGACAAAACACTTGTGGAAAAGAGGGGCGAGTCACAGGTTTCCAGCTGGCATACTGGGTGGACTGAGGAAAAGACAGTGCACAGCCTCCCTTATTCTTGGGCTTACTGCCCTTGGCCTCTCCCTTCAACCCCTGGGCACTTCTGGCCCCGTGGGTCCTTGGAGACTGGGCAGGGAATCAGGCTCCGTCTGGCTGAGGCAGGGTGGGACAAGGGCTGTGATGTACCTTGACTTGCTGAGAGCAGAGGTACCTGATGTGTCCATGAGGCAGGGAAGGGAGCCTGGCCCCAAAGCCTCCAGTTCCTGGGAGAACTGCTTCTCTGGCAACTTTCCAGCACAAGCCAGGGGGGCTGTAAGATCAGACTGACCTTCTCAGACATACCTTGTTGGAAAATACACTTAACTTTCCCTCCCAGGTATGCTCTGGAGGGAAAAGCAAAGACAGTGCACACATTGTAGGTGAGATTATTAAAGAAACAACAGGGTCCTTGCATCATTAATGCAGTTGACAGACATTCAATATGGGAGGCCCAGGGGGAGGCTGGGTGGGGTCCCCAGCTGGATGGTCCATGTGCTGCCTAAGTGTTGGCAATGAGGGAGCAGCGTTCAACCTCCCTGATGTAGCGCAAAATAATAATGAAGAACTGAAGAATAATCTATCAAATTAACATATTTAAAAACCTGTCATCTTTAATACTATTGGGGACATTGTGTGCTACAATCATAGATTTCTGACGGCACCATAAATTGGCCTAGTTCCTTGGGAAAATAGCTTGATGATAGATAAAAATAAACATAGCAATATCAGCAAGCTTAGATACCAGACATTTAGCTCCCAGGAACCTATTCCAAGGAAGAAGTTGTAGGACTAATGACAGTTAGGAACCAGCCCCTGATGTGGGTTCTTCCTGTGGGGGCCAGAGGACCTGAGCACAATACACATCCCCCCAGGGACTGCCTTACTCCCCAGATTACAGTGGTAGTGGGTGTGACAATGCAAAGTTTGACCCAGGAATGTGACTGTGTGTAATGGTTCATCCTTACATGTCAGGATCAAGAGGATTGCAGAAAGGATGGAAGCAGCAACATTATGTCAGTGAGCAAAAATGAAACGAACAGATGAATGTCATCTTAATTTTGTTTAAATTATTCACTTTAATAAACAAAGGATTATCTATAATAACCAGGATGCAGAAGCAACTTAAAAGTCCATAAATAGAGAAATGGATAAAGAAGTTATGGTATGCATATGAAATGGAATATTGCCCAGCCATAAGAAGGAATGAAATAATGTCATTTGCAGAGATGTGGATGGACGTAGAGACTGCCAGATAGAATGAAGCTAGAAAGAGAAAAACAAATATTGTGTAATATCATTTGTATGTGGAACCTAGAAAATGGCACAGATAAACCTATTTGCAAAGCATAAATAGAGATAGATATAAAAAACAAACTTATGGATACAAGAAGGGGACAAATTGGGAAACTGGGATTGATGTATATACACCATTGATACTATGTGTAAAATAAATAGAGATTTCCAGGCAGCTCAGTGGTAAAGAACCCACCTGCCAATGCAGGAGACGCAGGAAACACGGGTCCTGTTTGTTTGACCCCTGGGTCGGGAAGATCCTGACCAGAGAAGGAAATGGCAACCCACTCCAGTATTCCTGCCTGGGAAATCTCATGGACAGAGCAGCTTGGTGGGCTACAGTTGTGGGATTGTGGAGAATCCAACACGGCTGCGTAACAGCATGCGTGCATAAAATAGATGATGGATGAGAACCTGCGGTTAGAACACAGGGAACCCTGCTCAGGGCTCCGTGGTGACCTAAACGGAAAGGAAATCCAGAAAAAGGGGGAGATGTGTATATGAACAGCTGTCTCACCATATTGTACAGCAGAAACCAAGAAAACTTTGTAAAGCAACCGTATTCCAATAAAAATTAATTAAAAAATAAGTAAAGGAGAGAAATGATGACTCCACGAGCAAAAGCAAACAGATGACAGATCTGGTCCTGGTGCCCTGAATAAGCACTTGACAGCAGAGTTATCTCTGCCCACATTAGTTCTGGAAGGGCTTGCTTACGGCCACTTAAAATGTTTGCATGATCCCACCCACCTTGTGCTGGGCTCCCAAGTACCCAGAGACCCACCTAAAGTCTGGGTTAACTCATGCCTGGTTTGGTCTTTTTTTTTTTTTTTTTTGTTTCCAGCCCTGTTGCTGCACTGGCACCGTCTCACTTACAAAGCAGAAGCACTTTCTCCCTTGTCAGTTTTTCGCTGTTGGGATCCTTTGAGTGTGAATGGTGTCACAGGAAGCCAAATTGCCTTCTTCCCTTTTCATAAAATGTCTTCTGATTCCTCATCACTCCACTTTGAAGGGCGCACAATGAAGGCATTCAAGCTGTCTCCACGTGGACCCCCATGTAAACACATTGTAAATGGCTTGATTTGCTCCAAAGAACTGACAGCTATCTCACGGGGAAAGTAGCTTGGAGATATTCATGCGGGTTGAATCCCCCCAAAGTCAGATTTCAAGGACCTGATCCTTTCAAAAGCAAGACAAGCAACTGAACCTTTGTGAAAAAGCACCGGTCTAATAGCTGCTGTACTTATTATGGGCATTTAACGATTGCATTCAAGAATTATGCACCGATTAGTTTTCACTTGAATTCTGCCTTCCTGTTTCTTTTGACTCAGAAAAAAGAAGAGTGGGGTGGGGAGAAGACGCCACTTAATCTTTGCTTCTCCTTCAGCTCCGCACGGCACGCATTAGCCTCATACAACGCCTTCCGCAGCCACAATAAAAGCTGGAACTGCAAAGAGCCCAGAGTAAGGCGACTAATAAAGACTGATCCGCCAGGTAACCCAAGTTCTGAGCTAAGTCTTCAGTGACAGGAGGACAGTTCATTAATTTGCCATCCCCCAGAACAAGCTTGGAATCAAGTTCTGATTTTTTCTTTCTTTTTTCAGGCAGATTCAAAAGAATCAGGGAGAGAAAGCTGCCTTTGAAATTCTTGTCATCCAAGGCGGCCTTAATCACACCTTTGAGGGCCCTGCTTGGCTGTGTTAATAACCGGGCCCACGTGGGCACCCACGCTGTTCATTGTGCAGCTGGCTCTATTATTGGGTATGAATGTCCGAGCATAACAAAGTGGCTGTTGGCGCTTTTGAAATGGGGACAGCGAAGCCGCAGAGGTGCCTGGGTGAGAGGAGCATCTCGGAGAGAGGCAGGTGTGCATGGAGCTCAATGCTCTGGCAACTCAGAGGCTGTCTTGGGGTGAGTAACCCTGCTCCTCAGCTCAGCCGTCCATCCGTGGAGTGCTGTGTAATACCAGTTAGGTGGTGAGTGGCCTGACTTTTAACACCCTTGGTGGGGACAGTATGGAGGAGGAGAGAAGTGAAATAAATAGCCACGATCCCTCTAAGTACGACTATGGCCCTGGAGACCCTGCAGGCGGCGAGTGTCCGTGGGTGCCATGCAGCTAGCCACTCTGGCTCCTTGACAGGCACATGGCATGGTCTCACTGTAGCTGTAGACTCAAAGACGCCCTGTGTGAGAGTCACCAGGTTTAAAGCATCCAGACCCAGGTGGAGTTAGAGAGAGGAAGGGAGGGAGGAAGGGAGGAAGATCCAAGAACTGACATCAAGCAGCGAGAAGAGGAGAAGTCATGTGCATGGTGATGGTGGGTGGCCAGCCTTGTGAGTCCTTTGTCGAGATCCTCAAGCACACACAGGTCCCCATGGCCAGGCTGCCAGCGCCACATTCTGCAGGACGTAGCCCAGAAAATCATGACCAGGAGGAGGAGAGAGCCTTTCTCAATCACAAGTTGATGAGATTCTGTATGCTTTTAATCAGAAATGTGTTATCAAAGGGTTTCCCAGGTAGCACTAGTGGTAAGGAACCCACCTGCCAGTTTAGGAGACATAAAAGACGTGGGTTTGATCCCTGGGTCACAGAGAGTCAGACACAACTGAAGCGATTTAGCATTCATGCACACACCTTATCAAAGTCCCCTGATTATAATTATGTGTCTTTGGAAACAAAATCCTTAGAGTAGGCTCTGGGTCCTGACATCGAGAGGCACTGGACCTCATCACAGGGGGCCAAGGGCTCCATCCATGGCTCTACATTGAGCTGGCTGGCAAGTAGAATGATTCACCAGTGTCGGGAAGCCTTGAGGACAAACAGACCACACCAAAGGGCAGCAGCTGAGCTCAGAGCCTGGGCCCTTAAGGAACGAAGTGGTACTCACGGGACAGGCCAGCCAGAGCATCATGAGAAAGCTGACCTGCATCACTCAAGAGGTAAAGCACTGGGGCAGACCTCTGATGCCTCTGTGTGGGCAGCCTACCTTGGGTCATATCAGGGGCAGGGAGTTGAGACACAGCCACAGATGCTTGGAAAGAAAGAGCATGTCGGCCGGCGTATCTAGAAGATACATGGAGTGGGTGGGATTCAGTCAAGGTGTGAATGGTCCTCTGGTGACTTCTCTGGGCTCCTGCTCTGTGTGGTCCCTGTGGCAGCCAGGTAGATACCATGGCACTGGCCACTCTCCTATTCACACCCAGAAGGGCTTGTATCAAGTTCCTGAGATCCTCCTTGCTCAGGACCGCTCAAATCACAGGTGAGGTCCCCAGATGGCTCAGTCTGTTGGAACGAGGAGATTGTCCTGTGTACATTGGAGGTTGGGTCCCTCCAGCCTCTGTCCCCAGGGTGTGTGCCCCAGCCCTGCACACACTCTTACCACACGTGACCTGAGTCTGATGGGTTCAGGCTGACTGATTGTGTCCGTTCTTGAAACTTGAGAGAGGGGCCTGCCCCACTCAAGTGGCAAGGCTGTGGGATTCTAGGCCTCTTTCAGGGCTGTGGGGGTGGGGGGAAGGATAAGAGACCAGGGGCTCCTGGGGGCCTGATGCAGTCTTTCTCGGACCCTTGTCCTGGCAGTGAGTTTGGAAACCTGGCTGCCTCCCTCCAGCACTGGGTCAACAACATGCTTAGAATCAGTGACAATCAAGGTTGGTTCTAAATTGGTTTAGAAACATCAAAATCTAAGAGTGTGGTACTTATATAGATTTTTTTTAAAAGAGTCATTAATTACTGAACATTTCTAACATATACAAAAGTAAAGAGAATGGTAAAAAGATCTCCCAATATCTACTGCCCAGATTTGACAGTGATGGCAAATGTTTTTTATTTCCTGTCTCTGGGGGGCATGTCAGCTTTGAGGAATAGAAACAGATTTCTAGAGTGGGGAGGCGCAGTGGTTGGAGGGTGGTGGGTTAGGTTCCTGCTTTACAGGCCTTGGCTCTTGTCTTGTCCATTCTTGGACCTTCCCAACCAGAAGGTGTCCTTGGAAGGTGAACCATTTGATCTTTCTGTTGTTTTGAATCATTTCCAACCTTCGATTTTACCGCTGCGAGAGTTTGGCAAAGACAGCCAAGAGTCTTATTCTGGGACAGAGGTCCCCAGGCTCTGGGATCTAGTGCCTGATGATCTGAGGTGGAGCTGATGCAATGATAACAGAAAAAAGTAAACAATAAATGTAATGCGCTTGAATCATCCTGAAACCATCCCTCCAGTGCCCCAGAATATTGCAAACTGCTGTCCTAGGAAACCAGGCAGAGAAATACAGGTTTGACTTTTACTAGAATTCTCTTTATTTTGGAGGATGTGAGTGGTGATGGCTTGTACTAACTTACACTGGGGGTGTCTTTATCTGCTCCAAGAATGGCCATGCCCATATATATGTGTTAGTATACTGTAATGGTCTTTATCTTTCTGGCTTACTTCGCTCTGTATAATGGGCTCCAGTTTCATCCATCTCATTAGAACTGATTCAAATGAATTCTTTTTAATGGCTGAGTAATATTCCATGGTGTATATGTACCACAGCTTCCTCATCCATTCATCTGCTGATGGGCATCTAGGTTGCTTCCATGTCCTGGCTATTATAAACAGTGCTGCGATGAACATTGGGGTGCACGTGTCTCTTTCAGATCTGGTTTCCTCGGTGTGTATGCCCAGAAGTGGGATTGCTGGGTCATATGGCAGTTCTATTTCCAGCTTTTTAAGAAATCTCCACACTGTTTTCCATAGTGGCTGTACTAATTTGCATTCCCACCAACAATGTAAGAGGGTTCCCTTTTCTCCACACCCTCTCCAGCATTTATTGCTTGTAGACTTTTGGATAGCAGCCATCCTGACTAGTGTGTAATGGTACCTCATTGTGGTTTTTAGAAAGATGGTAACGATAACCCTATATGCAAAACAGAAAAAGAGACTCCGATGTATAGAACAGACTTGTGGACTCTGGGAAAAGGCGAGGGTGGGATGTTTCAAGAGAACAGCATCGAAACACGTATATTATCTAGGGTGAAACAGATCACCAGCCCAGGTTGGGTGCATGAGACAAGTGCTCGGGCCTGGTGCACTGGGAAGACCCAGAGGGATCGGGTGGAGAGGGAGGTGGGAGGGGGGACCGGGATGGGGAATACATGTAAATCCATGGCTAATTCATTTCAGTGTATGACAAAAACCACTGCAATGATGTAAAGTAATTAGCCTCCAACTAATAAAAATAAATGAAAAAAAAAAAAAAAAAGAATGGCCATGCCCATCATCTCATCAGATGTTTGCAAAGGCCCAGACGAGGAGCTGTCACATCTCCACTTTATTGAAGAGGAGGTGAGACACCCCTCAGACCGCAGGGTGAATCAGTGCAGGCCTGGGTTAGATGACTACACACTTTGTAGGGTCTGATCTCATGACAGGTTGCTTAGGGTCACATGTCAGGTGCTCATTCCTGAAGGAGTCTGGTTAAGAGTGACTTTCAAGTTTGTTCTCTCTTTACTTGCCCAAACCAGCAGTTTTTATAACCCTTTATATAACGCTTGCTTGTCTTCTTTCAAAAAGATTTGGTGGTCAGAATTGTGTTCATTCCAAAATGCTTTCAGATGCAGCTGTTTATTAAAGTGCCAGGAGCAGTGATTAATTTCAGATGCTCTGCAGTACTTCTGTTTGTCGCCGGATGATATCCCCGGTTGGAGCTGCAGTCTGCAGCATCGCACTCTGCCAGGGCACACCCGCTCCTACCCATGTTTCCTCACGAGATGCATTTATTTAGTCCAGGGAAGCTCTCTCTGTAAGCCCAGTGTCCAAATAACTTTCAGGCCATTTGGCATCTTTACAGACAAATGGTACCTCTTAAAAAAAAGGCACTGCAATCTGTGGGCTCACAGTCTGCATTAGAATCTCTACAGAGGACATCTGCTAGCTGATATTCCAAAAGTGGTGATTGATTCTTGATGCCTAAGTCACATCTGTATGGGGACGGCGGGTGGATGGGCTGTGAACTTTGGCAGAAAGCATCTGTTAGCAGCCAAATGCAGATCCGAGTTTATACAGTGCAGCGTGCACAATGGTGTCTGATGGTGGATCTTGCTGTGGTTTGGGGAAGAGGCACTCATTTCACATTTCAGTAGGAGAAACCAGCTCCTTGACCTCATCTCTCTAACCCAAAGGTGTTGGAAACAATGCTTAGCAGAGTTATTCACATGCTCAGCCCACAGGTTGGAAAAGTTGAACCAAAGAAATGGAGCTCTGAGTGGAGCCTAAACGCATCTGCAAACAGCAGAGGACAAGCTCCTTGGAGAAGGTCAACAAGATCGAGAGGGTCTGCAGCTGAGGGACAGAAAGCTTTGCACCCAAAACACAGGTTGGCAGGACTAACTCGTGGTCAGTCCGTCCCCCAAATGAACACTCTGCTGCAGGACTAAATCCCTGAAATCTAACATAGTTCACTTCACTGAATTCAGTTTGCAAATTTGTCAGTTGGATGCATTACCTAGGTGCTAAATGCGTCTGCATGAACTGCTAATAAAATGTGTAGCGATTTCAGTTCCTACTGGTTTCAACAGCCTTTGGGGATATTTCCAAACAGTCTGGGGGGATAAAAATACATCCTGGGTATTTTGAGTTTTAGGCAGGAAGCACCCTTCCCTGGAGCCTTTGTCCTCACAGGGCTTCCCCCTTCTGGGTATCTCTCTGTGATCCACCCTGCTTCCTATTCCTCATGTGTCACTGGGTTTAGGGCGATCCTAAGTCCCGAGCAACTGCATCTTAAAATG